GTCCGTCTATAGTAGGTTATATTTCAAAATTCTGGGGTGTGCGATAGACTTACCTCCACGTGGTGAACCCTGGCAAGGTATATTGATACAGCAAAAAAGTCTATCAATGGGCAGTTGACTTCTGACTTCAAACTGCCATGATCCCACTGTATGCCATATTCGAATACTTCACAGTACTCACCTCATCTTTTTTCTACCTTCGTCTTTGAAGCACTCTTCTGTCCCTCCCCTCTCGACTTTTTTACACTTTGATGTTCCTCCTCCCCTCTGTGAAGCCTGAAGTCAACTAAAAGGCTAATGATAACTATCAAAACGCCTGCCATTTGCTATAAATAAATAAATATTCCAAAATTCTTCTTATTCAAAATCCTAATTGCATTAGGGTCTACAGATAGGACAATTTGTAACGATATATAATGGTATCCAGTAGTCTTAAAACTAATTGCAATGCATACGGTTATTTAGTAGTTAAGATAGATAATTCCCTCATTGAACATTGTCTTCAATGCAATGGGAAACAAAAATCCAAAATCCTCTTCTTACTAGAGCAGCTTATCTAATTTCTGGTGTTATTTATTTTTGATCCAGGGGTGCACCCTGGGCAACGTATATTCACACGGCAAAAAAGTCTATTAACTGGCGAATGACTTCTGGCGCAGTACTCATCCTACCTTTTCTCTACCTTCATGTCTGTCTCTTTACATCTCTAAATCACTCTTATGTTCTCCACCCCTCGACTTTCTGTTACTCTGATGTTCCTTCCCATCTGTAAAGCCTGAAGTCAGCTAAAGGGCTAATGATAACTATCAAAACGCCTGCCATAAATAAATAAATAAATTATTTTTGATCCATTTCTCATTAGGAAATAATAGTGGCCTTTCATAACTTTGTTTCATTTCATACTTCTCTCTCCCTTTCTATTCTTGAGACTTAACTGATATATATGAAATTTTTTTGCCCACTGTTTTTTTACAATACGTAAATCGGGCCAATTTGGTAGCAATCTCGTTGATATGACGAAAGCGCCAAATTATCAGTCGACTGTAGTTTCGGCACACTTTAATTAGTGTCATTATCCTGCATGCCTTAACGTTTTAACTGGAGTAAATTACACTTTCAAATCGCATGTAGAGGGTGACGTTTCGAATAAACTAATTTGTGAATTTTAAAGCTTTAAATTTCCTCAAATTGAGCTAATATGCATGATGAATAACGTTGGTGAATAATTAAATTCATTCATAGGAAATACTGCCATTTTTGTCTAAATTTACTGAGATTATTGACATTTGACTATTCCAACTTGTAAATTTAATTTAATAATTGGTTTTAAGGTCCATATTAACAGAGAATGTCAAGAAAATTGGTCTAGGACACAAAAAATTAACTCTCGCAGTATTCAATATGGCACTTTATAAAATGAATGCAATTTGTAATGAGATAATGAAAAATAAACAACGTCCAGATTCTCATTTGAGTGAACGACTTCTTAAAAAGCACAATTTTAATTATGGCGTTACGAAAGAATTATACTTAATTCAAATTTATCACAGTTCAATGGATATCAATGCTGCCCCTATGTAATTGTACCAGTAAACCTATCTACTTGTTCCAGTTATCGATCTTCTTCAAGTGAGGCTTCTAAAATCACTTTAATCTGATTCATGAATGGTGGACAAACGATCGATAACATGATCTCGGGATTAGTAGAGCCGCTGAACCATAATTTTACTTCAATTGTGACCTTATCAGAATTTAATAGTATTTCATTTCGCACTGAGCAAAATAGGAAGAAATATATATATGAATTCGAGTTAAAATGCATAGAGAGTCACTGAAATCAAAATTGTTCGTAAATGAGAGTTGAGGAACTGTCTAGCTTACTTAAATTGGTATTGATTAACATCTATTTATGTCAATTTAATGTTGTAACTGAGAAAGCGATTCAATATGCCCTAGAAAATCACGCTTTATTGAATTGCTTGTTAGGACAATGAAACCCCTGAATCAAAACTCTCAATCATTCTAACTGCAAATGGCTCAAATGTGGAAAAAACTGGATGAAATGATTCATTTTTTTTAAGGGAAAGATTCAGTTTTCATCTCGGGAATTCCTAAAAATTCCAACAATAAGTTGTTAAAATTATTTCACAATTTTCAAATCTACTAATTACTCTATACAAAATTATGTTGACGTTCGAAAATAGTAATTTTCTCATAAAATTGTTCACTTCTAGCATGCAAATATGCAAAATAGGGGAAATATTTGGCCGTAATAGTAAATTCCTTGCAAGAGCACATTTTTTGCCCATGTTCCAAATTCGCATTCTTTCACTGCACTGGGAAAAAATCGAAGAGAATCGATTGATTTTTTTCCATCTGGGGAAGTCTCATTGGGCAGGTATATTCAAGCGCCAAAGTTAATGAGAATTCAGTCCGGTTTCTGTTCCCAATTACAGACCAAATAGGAATGCAAAATATTTTAACTTTGAAGGAAAATTGTTATCAATTCATGTAAAGGGGTTTAAATTGATAGCGATGTTAGTGCCCTTAAAATCCATTCGAGATAATTATAACGTCCTTATTGCTTCGCTATCATCCTTTTTGATGTTAAACCGTTAGAAGTATCATGTGCCTTAAAGAAAGGTTCGCCAATTTAAAGACATACCCGGTCCTTCTAATAACAGAATTTAACCGTATTAAGTTCTTCAAAGCAAATAAATTGATTATCCAGAATTTAAATTTTTTGTATAACACGAAACGAAAGACTTTTTACTGATGGTATTACTTATTTCAGATTTGGTCCTCTTGGGGTGAATGCTTGTGGGCCGAGAACACTCCAAGGCTTTTATTATTTCATTGATCCAAAACTAAAAAGATATTTAAAATATTACATCTACTTTTATTACAACTTTCAGTCCATTTAAAGATTTTGTCCCTATTATTTCCTAGATTACTCTATAAATACTTGTACATTTTCCCTCCATGAAGTAGCCAGATCTTAGTAAATGATTAATCGATGAGAATTTGTGTCATCCGTGAATTTCTAATTAGAGAAAAGCTTTATTTATATTAAATGGCAGGCACTATGACAGTTATCATTAACTCTACAGTTGACTTCGGGCTTCACAAAGGGGAGAAACATCAAAGCGGTAACGATTCAAGGGGGGGAACAGATAATTGATTGATCCGCAGATGTAAGAAGTAGATACAAAGGTAGAGAAAAGGTAAGGTGAGTTGATGACTGTGAAAGTGGTTGAATATGACATATAGTCTGGTCATGGTAGTTTGAAACCAACTGCAGGTTTGTCTAGTGTTATACGTGGAGCAGGGTGCTCCATGTGAAGGCAAGTCGATTTGTCCTGACTGGTCGTAGGTTTAAAGCCCTCTGTACTAACTGCTTTATCAACAGTAAACGGAGGTTTCTCTCTGTATTCAAAAAAATCTCTTAGGCCAGAGAACGCCCTTCAATCCACCTTGTTGTAAGGTACGGATGATACGATTAAGAAATTTTCAGTCATTATCACTTTGCCTCCTTCAACAGAAATGATAACAAGACATCAGTTATAAACACGATTTCAATTTTCACGCCTGTCTAAAATTATCCGCTAAGTAAATGTTGAAGCGTTTATGATCATCTGATTTAGTAAATCTCACTGAAATTGCACAAAAATATGCTTTTCCAAGCACAGATATCGGAAAACAAAATAGGTTTACCGGCATGTGGTCGCAATCTGCAATCCCTTTTCTAGTTCAAATTAAGATCGGTTGGTTCGCTCCAACGACATAAAAGAAAAAGGGAAATGAAGAGGTTGTTGAACAGGGCTAACTGTTTGGAAAACGTCGTAGAAAAAATCTTTTTTGAATAATTTTCGCGATACTTTGTAAACCACTCGTTTTGCATAAATCTCTCCAATAAGTAATGTAATTTTAAATTGAATTAAGATAGGTCTGAAATAGCGTTTGAGGAGGTAGGGGTTTCGAGATGGTTTTCATACGTCAGGGATCCCAATTGATTGCACAAAAAACTTTATTCGAAGGAGGTAGTAACTTTATAAGTTAAAGCCTGAATTGGATTGTGCCCACTCAACTGTTCTATCAAAATATTGAAAAGTTTACCACTCATCAAGTTGGAAGTTAGGGAAGATATAGACGAGAAGGATGACTTCACAGTTGAGGGGTGGGGGGGGGGGGACTCGAGCATTAGAGGTCTCTCGGGATAAAAACCACGAATTTCAAAGATTTGATTCCTTAACAACGCATAAATTGGAGAGGTTTCTGGTGTATCTAAGATTTACATTGCCACAGGCTACACAAGGGGTCTAAAAGACACACAAAAGACACAGGTGATTGTAAATTGCCGGAAGGATAAATCACATTAATTTAGGCATCTTTCACAGAATAAAACCGATAAGCTAGCAAAAGACTTCTTCTTTATGATGTCCCAACTTAGCTTGTCTCCGCTCTATCATTTTCCCGTCATTAAACTGTTAAATTTTAAAACAGTTTTTTTCATTTTAATAAGAATAAATCTTTATTAAATGGTTTGTCTTTCTTCTTTGTTTTTTCGAAATTGTTTTTAAATACTTGATTTATCTTTGCACTATTTGGCAAGAGCATCATCTCATTTTGTCACTGTCGGTGAATTTCTTTAAATATTACTAGGTTATTTGTGCTCCTTATTTTAAATCAATTATTTTACTAATCTTCGATAGGCAAAATTGTAAAAAAAACACAAAAGAGAGAAGCAATTCTTGAGTAATATACGGTTCTAAAAGGCGTGACAGTTTTTTCACATAAGATGAAGCATAAACCTTATTTTCGTAGCAATTTATGAGTTAATGGCTAATTCATGAATCCCGCCCACTTCACTAGCCAATAGATCAGTGGCCGGCGTGCGTACGTACATTCGCACGCGTGAATATATAATAGTGTGTCAAAAGGAGGCAAACCATTCTACACTTTCCAAACGCACTCAACGAACTGTTGACTGGGTTGTGGTAATGTTTCTTGGACCAGACGGAATCAAACCAATGGATTTTACTTTGGGGAGCGTTTTCGGGTGTGCCATCCAGCCCAACTCTCAACAGGATAATTTATTTCTTAACCGCCTTCTCTATCTAGCCGCCACTGGCTATGAATTGAGGGTAGGTGCTTGCTTAAAACTCCTAGATCTTACGCTTTAAAATTAAATAATTTTCTCGAAACACTAAACCACTAACTCAGTTTAAGATACGCTATTTGTCTACCTATGGCCTAAAATCAGATGAATAATCAGTCGTCCATAGAAAATTCATTTTTTAGATCTGATATTTGGCTCATTAGTAGTCTTAAACGATAAATTTTGTGCGAAATGTCAGCCCTGTTAATATTTTCGATTTTATATCACCTTAACTGACCCCTCAATATTTGAGGTAAAATCCTGCCCCTAAAATAGTGAGAAAAAAAACAAATTGACTTCAGAAAATTTAAAAAATGAGTTTTAATTGGTGGCAAGTTTTTTTTAAAAATATTAGTAGGCTTAAATAAAACTGACGCTTGTCTTCTCAAGTAATTTGCTTTTGTCCATTTTTCAGAAACGAAGTCTCAACCCAGCAGATGAGTTCGTTAATACCGCTGTAACCCTTTCTGCTAAAAGAGTAAGTTGTTCTAACCGTTTTCGTGTTAGCCTAACAGCAATTAACTAAACTAATAAATTCTCTTCTAAAAAGCAACACTCGTTCATTCCTTCGTAATGGCGTTACTCTAGCAGCTGTGGTTTAAGCGATGAAAATGCTCAGAAATTTCTATTCGATAGGCGAGTTTTTTTATGCACCGAAGACATTAAAAGAGAGATATGTGGCTGAAAATTGTGGTATTTAATACTCAGCCTGAGATGGGAAGATGAATCATGCCCATAACCGCCAAATCACCGGCGTGGCCTATGCATTAATCACTTTGCGTCAAGTATTTCGCTTGCCTTCATACAGTTCACAGTTGCCGCAAGTTTAACCTTACGGCATCCACGCAATTTGGCTGTTTAATTATCGATTACTGACAATTGCCTTAATTTCCTGTGTGGATGCGTCATTTTTATCGATTGACTAACACTCCATCAACTTTAGCATTAATGCTTCATAACTCACATTTATAGTGAACACTAATTTCTTATTTTTTGCGACTCCGGGGTTCTAGACAAAATTAAATCGGAATGTAGGAGATTATTTATCACTGAAACTAGAACGAGACTAGGGCTAGAAATGTGCTCGTAGCATGATAATATCGAGTCTTTCAGGCAGATTAGATTAATCTCAGCAAAATTAGCGACATGTGTGTCAAAGCCACCGCCCTCCACCCCCCCCCCCCTCATTCACCTTCTAAGAGGGCTAAAATGGGCTGAATGGTTTTATACTTTCCTGTTGCATGAATTCTGTATCTTTATGGGCACTCGCTTAAGACTCCACATATTTTTAGAATTATCGCGACCTTTTCCGAGTGATTAATAAAAGTCAGTTATTAAAAGTGGCTTATGTTCGGTCAGATTCCTCCCCCGCCCCAAAAAATGTGTGATTTATGGAAAGACTGTGGATTGAGTCAAGGCAACCAAATGCCACCAAAGCCAAACTCTTTATCTATCCCAAAGCAGAAAAATAAAGCAGAGAGTTTAATTAAAATGCGTTTAAATTATTATTGTTGTAAGTTTTATAAATTATACTGTGCAGGTTAGGGATTATATCACCGACAAAAATGTTGGATTATGAGTAAATAAGAAAATCAAAGGTGTAGTTCCAGGACTGAGAAAGTCTGTTGGGGAGGAAGGGAGTAGAGAGTGGAGGAAAGAGGGAAACTGTCAATCAAATTGTCCCTATGCGAGCATAATTGACAGCTTGGAATGCTTTGTTCAATTAGCATTGGCGGGGTACAGTTGTTGCAGACATGTGTTAAGCTACACCATTGTGATTACCTCAGCAATTATCAAATATGATATGGAGCTAAAAATAATAAATTATGCTCTCCAGTTTTTGACAGTCAGACACCACTCTGGAATATAATACCTTAGTGTATATTTTATTACATATGAATGAAAAGAAGACCTCCAATATTTATCTGACAAAGAAAAAATTCTTATAGAAATAGTATATATATATATATATATATATATATATATAGCAGTTAATTAATAGAATTTTTATGGAAGTAGTTATGCTGCTGAAAAACTGTTGTACTTTAGCTGTTATTCGTCCTGTAACGACTCTTGAAGATTTTTGAACCTATTTTCAATCAAAGACACGTTAACTGCACATTTAAACAAATTCGCTCACAAAACATTAAATGCAGAAGTTGTAATTAAGATTAGCTCATGCGAGATCGTTGTAAACACTTTTTTTCTCTCAACCCTCTTCAAAAATCCAAAAACTTACGTTGACATAATGTTAAATTTACTAAAAAGGAAAAGGTGTGAATTAGCTGTTACAAATCAAAATGTTCAGATTGTGAAATTAATGTAATTTAAAGGACCAGTGATCATAATGCCTGTGGAGCTTCAATTTAAAACACTTTTGGAGAATCTGAAATTGACGATAAAGCACTATTTAAAGATATACTAAAATTTTGTATTAGCATTAGATGGCCAACCTCTGGTATTTTCAACTTTTTCCAGACCTGAGGTGATCAGCCAAGTCAGGTGACAAATGTTCGGTGCACATTTGGTGATTTGGAATCACTAGTAACCTTTGCAGTAACCTACCATGTTAAATTAAGCCAATAGACGTCTCGTAGCTAGGATACAAAATTGTAATTTATCGGAGTATCCTCTTAGAGACCAGCATGTTTCATGACAAATCAAAATTTAAACCTTTGTTCATGAGGTGGCACAAGGAGGCTTCACTTGATCTCAGTTAAATTGAGATAGTGGAGTATGGTTCACTGTGTAATATTCTAATGTTCTAGAGTTCAAAATTCATGGTTTTATTCCTAGATTTCAGGACAAATTAGTGCCAAATTGCATTATGGACCAGTTGATTTAATTAGGAGTTTGGTCGCGTCTTCTCAATTCATTGAAATTGGTGAATTGTATTGAAAAAAATTATTGGAGCTTATTTAATTTAAGAAGGAGTATTTCATGCTTTTGCATACCCAATTGCATATTTAAAAAGAAGTGTATCAGTAGTAAGATCCCTTTTCGGAATGGCTTGTTTTCCTCATAAAACTTTTTTCTTTATCTAACCATTTGACCTGAAATCGTCAATCGAATTAGAGCAAACATAGCTCTTAAATAATTTCTTTACTTCATGTTGATGATAGGAATGGAATTGTGCAGCAAATTGACGCCAAATCGGCAAACTTTGCTGCATGCCGAAATGCTGCATCAAAGCATAGAATAGTCATATAGGAATAAAAGGAGCGCTTGAAACGCTGAAATTGAAAAAAAACGGACTTTTGGTCGAAAAGTGCATTGATGTGGTACAATTAAACAGCCGCATTTATCATTGCTATACTTAATTAATTTCCAAGAACTTGAAAAAAATTATTTTTTCTCGTCTTCATCGCCTTGAAATATGTCTGAGTTAAGTTAAAGTTTTTTGTTTTTGCCAGCCTCGAGTTGAGGTATTGCCGACTCCCACAACGTGCATTCTTCCTTCACGTGTTCTACACGTTCGGAATTTACCCACCGACATCACTGAAACTGATATTGTCAAATTGGCTATGCCATTCGGACTCATTGCAAATCTCGTATTGACCAAGAAAACTGGTCAAGTAAGTGTCGTGAATCATTATTATCATTATTATTATTGTTGTTGTTGTTGTTGTACTGAATGCTAAGCTACCTCGATTTTTCAAAGTGGTGTCAGTGCTTTGACTATTGGTGAGTCATTTCAATATAATCAACCATAGAAAACACTCTATTAAAATATAGTGTGCATTTTGACTTCTAATTCATCAAAAAAAATCTGCCTGCAGATTGTGTAAACATTTGGATCTTCATCGCAGTTCGTTTTAAAAAGAGCGCTATTCTGGCGAATTGCCTGACTTAATGAGAGCAGTGAATTATTTAACCCCTCAATCCATATAGATTAGCACTATCCAAAGCCCTCATCGTAATTAAAAAAGAAACATTTCACTAGATCTGCCTGGTGAGGAGCTTAAATGCTAATACCCTTATTATCCAGACTAGATCATTTCGGTTGGCCATTCGCCAACTGGACATGCACAAACTGAACTCCAACCTGTGATATCTGATTTCATAGAAGAGTGCGTTAACTGTCAATTATTGCAGCTATACCCTATATAAAGTCCACAAGTTAAAGTTCCATGGAGGTATTTCAAAAACCTACTGCGTGCAGCACGCACCCCCCCCCCCCCCCCCTATCGAATAAATTTGCCTCGCAATAATCTACCCATGTAAATGCTGTGAAGGAATGTGAAATGGGCATAATGATGACAGCCAAATTTGGTAACTAGGGCATGGCTTTGATGTACGCTTAAACAACTGCAGTAGATATGCCATTTAGTCTCCACTATGAAACTGTGAAACTGTTATCTCATCAATCTACACAGTTTTCGTGCATATTTATACTATAGCGAATTAAATTAGCCAAACAGAAAAGAGTTGTTAACTGCCATCATATAATTGTTGCTGTTACATAGAAATTACCAGATTTAATATCGATTTCAGAAAGCGTCTCCACTGTTTATCTGTATTTGAAACATGAACATAGGTCGAAATCTGTAAGTTTCTTATGATAGAGAATCGAAATACAGTATTATTAAAATAATCGCTAAATATGTAGATGATTTACTTTCTATTTACTTATTACCCGTGGCAAGATAAAAAATAAGTTCTGGTAATCGTGGGAAAAATCCCGAACCAGAATTCGATTCAAATTAATTCAATAATGATTTGAAGGGGGGGAGGGAGTCACTTAGAGGTTGTGAACGAAGTTGGACTGACAGACATTTCTTTATTGCTTCAAGTTGTACCGGCGTATATTTTTCATTTGATTATATGAAATGTTTGGCCAAACCGCCTGAGGGTGTGTTTTTAATCTATAGAGGAGGTAAAAAGGATGATTGAAGTTATCACAGCACTGAATAATCCTGTGGCTGAGAACTGAAGTGAAACAGTTAAAGAAGAACAGGAAAAGTTTGGACGATTTTAGGCGGAATTCCATGGAGTATTTTTCCATTAAAGGTTACTAAATGTTTAAATAAGGGAAATATTCTCATTGTCCAACAATTATAATCAATAATCAACCAATAATGTTTAATATCTCGCAGAGATCGAGATTGTATAGAAAAAGTTTAAATGTAGCTGGATATCTATGAACAAATCGCCACGATGATACCCCAGGTCATAGTGGTGATCATCGGTAGTCAATGCACACTTAGTGAACAATATTTATTTTAAATGACAGGCTTTATGATGGTTATCATTAGCCATTTAGCTGATTTCGGGCTTCACAGAGGGGGGGGGGAGCAGAAAAGTTACTCTAGGATGCCAAAGGGACAGATAGACACAAAGGCAGAGAAAAGGTAAGGTGAGTACTGTGTAGTGGTCGAATATGACATACAGTAGGATGGTGGTAGTTGGAATTTAGAAGTCAACTGCCGGTTTATAGCCTCTTTTGCTTTATGAGCATTCGTTGCCCAGGGTGCACCACGTGGAGGTATGTCTAACACACACCCCACTTAGTGAACAAATCAACATCCAGTATGCTTCAGTCATTCCCCCCCCCCTCACATTTGTCAAGCCGCGTTCTGTCGTCCATTTAATCGAACTCTCACCATGATAACCGCCTAATTAAGTACAACATTCACTTTGGCTCTACTCCACATGAAGATTACAATTAAATTCATTTAAATCGCTCTCCTCGCTGTACCTGGTCATTAAATTTATTAGACTTCAAGGCAAATAACAACTATTATTTCAGTCTCCGAAATAGTTAAAGCATAAGTATGATTTTAATCTCACCTCTTTAGTAAAATGTGATAATTTAAAACTTGAGGTCACCAAAGTGAACTTGCACACGAAGATAGCTTAAATCCATGAATAATTCACTTTTAAAAGCAAGATAAAATAAGAAAGTCGAAATCCCTGCGTCTCCAACATCTTAATCTTGGTTAACCCTAATCTTCGAAGGTTGTTTACTTCGACCTCACAGGAATGCTTAATCTTGAGATGACCTCAAGTTATCTACTTTATGTAATGCGAGAATAATTCTGAAGCCGGTTGCGAACCGGGATCCACCGGATTCATCGACGTAGCCTGAATCCATTTTGAATTTAAAGTAAAAATCTCCATTTTGACAATATTTAGGTTAATTGAAGGTTTGGAAGCGAATGTGAGGGAAAATATAAATAAATAAATAGATATTCATTTTCTTGCTACGCAACCAACAAATCACAGTTAAACTCCGGTTATCGTCTATCAAATTGCTATCAAAACCACTAGTTGAAGTGGTAAAACTGATTTTTTTTGCTTCTATCTGGATAAAAATCTGTTCAAACCTCTCGGTTTTGCTGCATTTCAAACTCGAATGCGAAAACTGACAAAAAACTTGCGATCAAATCAACAAAATCTGTCATAAACAAACAACGAATCCTTGTTTTTTTTCGAAGACTGTTTTAGTTTCACCGCAAATTTCACTGCTAAAGAGGGAGTTCTTTCGGGTCTATTTTCGGCTTTGGTTGATTGAACCTCAAAAGTGAAGTTTTATTTTTTGCAGTTAGCGAAAAAGAAGTTGCTGAATGGTTGAGATTGGCAGAACGATTAGAAGTTTGAAAATGAAAATTTCGGTGTTAGAAGTTAATTTCTCAATCCCACCAGTTAAATAGTGCTGCAATTTGCAATTCATTTTCATTAAAATATTTGCGAAAAAAAATATATTTCAACTCAGAATTTAGACACTATGCGTAATGTGAAATGTTTCAATAAATCTGAGGACAATTTGCATGCAAGCGAAAATAAATCGATAAATTCATAATTTAGAAAGATGCAATTCGTCAGCCCCAATAAGTTTAAATTTCCATGGTAATTTGGGGTGAAAATTAAAAAAAAATTCGATCGACGGATGAATTTAATCACTGAAAAGAAATCAATCTAAATCCAATTTGCTTTCTAAAACATTGATTGATGGAATTATTCAAATGCAACGTTATGAATTGCTTTTTCAGTGTAGGTTGATTTATTAATCCCTAAAATAATTCAAATCAAATGATATTGCTTACCGTATGCTACAATCAGTATTAGAAAAGAATCTAACCTAATCTTAGAAAGATACCAAGGTAAGGAATTTCTACTAGTTTTAGAAACCTATTGATTTATTTTGTTAGATGGCATCAAATCACTTCATTGATTAATCGATTTTGCTTATACCATTTCAGGCTCTCATTGAAATGACTTCAGTTGACGTAGCTGCAAAGATGTTGGAATACTACCAATTTTATCCGCCCTTCTTCCATGGAAGCGAAGAATCTGCAATTCTCCAATTCTCAAAATACCAAAATCTTGAATTGACTGGAATTAGTCGACCTGTCTCAGAGGCGATTGCAATGGCTAACGAACACTTCCTTCGATGTGTTGCCGAGAACCCAACCAGACCACGGGTCCTTCGTGTTTTCCTCGAACCCGCTCCACATAATCAATTAAATTATATGGATTACTTCAAAGTGAGTATAAGGTACCTTGTTAAATGCATAGGAACATTTAGTTTATCTTAAATCTTGGAAATTTTTCAGTTGGGCTAATTTTCTATTTGCTAATTGAAACCAAACTAGACCCTAATAAATGTTCATTACCTGATGTTGTGGATAAGAAAATAAACGGATTTGAAAAGTTATCTCTCCCGCAATTGGCATATCATCTTGAAGAAATTCATTGAAATTTATAAAACAATTTTTTGCAAGAAAAGAAAAAAATTTAATTGATAGATTTTTTACTTACAAACCTGGATAGATGCTAAATATTTTAGTCTTTGGAAATCCGGGATTTTAAACCATATTCCCATCGCACCTAGTTAAAAGCGTTTAATTTTTCTCACCCAAGCAAAAGAGATTTTAATCTCGTTTTTTGGCAAAACTTGAAATATGTCATTAATTTTATAAGAAAATCTACACAGAGATGGAATTTGCTGATTTAGCAAATGAAAAAAGGTCGTTGAGTGTGGAGCTTGTTCTTAAACCGGAACTCGTCTCAATTTCAAGATATGAATTTTCAGAATGTGGAAGTTTTTCCATACTATGGAAGTAAAGAAAAATTATATCAACCGTCTTCGTTGAAAAATACAATTTTGGAATTTATCAAAATAATAAGGAATTCAGCAAATGCTTTTTTTAATCTTTTGTGAATTGTTTCTACCATCTTCACTATTTATTTATGTCGAATGTCAAAGTCACACAAAAAAAGTCGAGAGGGGGGAGGGCGAACAGAAGAGTGATTCAAAGATGTAAAAGAGACAGTCACAAAGGTAGGAAAAAGGTTAAGTGAGTACTGGAAAACTGGTTGAATATGACGTACAGTTGAGCCATGGTAGTTTGAAGTCAACCACAGGTCTATAGACTTTTTGCCGTTTGGAGGTAAGTCTAACGCGCACCACTCTCTCCACAATTAGATGAACCATGTTCTCGAAATATTCTTTTTTTTCAATTTGTCTTACATTTCCTGCTCGCTTTTATCTTATGTTTGACCATGTATCATAACGAGTAGATTTTCTCAGAGTACTTGTAGTATAACAGGAAATAATAAGAAGGCGAAATTGGAAACTTTCTACTTAAAAAGCGTAGGTTTTCAACAACTTTTATAGTTAAGCTGCCTCTTTGGCAACTCATGCTTTCACTTAAATTCCTTCCAAAAACCATGCCTTCACGCTGCTGTGACGGGTAGTTTGCCTGCTTTTTGAAGGTTGTACACGTGCGTGCTCCATCACATACCCTTTCACGTTCTATTTCTCTTCCCCCCTCCCCTCCTCCCCCACCCCCACTCTCACTCCCTCCCCTCCCCTCCCTGTTAAATGTCATTCACCGAAATCCGATTTGCGTGTTTAACTTAAAAATACTATAGAATGTGGAGTATGCTCCCATTGCACTCGACTTGTTAAAAAGGAAGTGCGCTTGAAAAGCCATTCGTGACAGTGCTATCATTAAAGTGTCTGTTCATTTTTGTCGCATCTTCCTCCACTGTAAGGGGGGTAAATAAGCGACAATACAAACTAACTAAATACGAGGTTGAAAGCAAGCCAAGTATGGGACGGAGTTGGCGAGAGAGAGGGGGAGAGAGTATTTCGGTGATAAGTCGAAAATTGGTCTATTTGAGGGAGTAAATAATCGATAAGTAGAGGGGATCAGTCAAAAACACAGTCACCCTGTGAAGGCGACAAAACGGTAAAAAATAATTATTTATTTATATCAAATGGCAGGTGTTTCGATAGTTATCATTAGCCCTTCAGTTGACTTCAGACTTCAAAGAGGAGAAGCAACACCAACGTGAAAAAATGCCGAGAAGGGGAGGGAAACAGAAGAATGTTACAAAGATGTAAAAGAGGCAGACACAAGATATAAAAAAGATGAGGTGAGTACCTTGGAAGTAGTCGAATATGATATACAGTGGGTTGATGGTAGTTTGAAGTCAGAAGTCAACTGTCAGATTATAGACTCTTTTGCCGTATGAGTATACGTTGCCCAGGGTGCACCACGTGGAGGTAAGTCTATCGTACACCCTTGTTAAAATGTATAAACTAATGGCACTAATATTTAACGTATATGAGGAACTAAGTTACTGCAAGCTTGTGATTCTGTGACTGATATATGAACCTCTCGTGCAATATTCCTTCCCATCAAACTGTCATTCCGTTGGTCGTTATCTTCCACCAATAACGCTGTTTAAATAACTAAATAATTATTTAGTGAATGAAAACCAGTTAAATTAATTACTACCTTCAGTTCTGACATAAAATTTAATACTAATTCAAATTTGAGGGACTATTAAGATGATGTTTAATGCCAACAATTTTGAGGTGGGGGAGGAGGGTGGTAGGGTTATAATGGGTAGAATTAGGGTACGGAAAAAGTATTTATTTATTTATATCAAATGGCAGACATTTTGATAGTTATCATTAGCCCTTTAGTTGACTTCAGGCTTCACAGAGGGAGAGGAACATCAAATCGATAAAGTCGATAGGGAGGGGGAACAGAAGAGTGTTTTAAAGATGTAAAAGAGACAGACACAAAGGTAGATGAAAGGTGAGGTGAGTACTGTGGAAGTGGTTGAATATTACATAGAGTGGGGTCATGGTAGTTTGAAGTCAGAAGTCAACTGCCGATTTATAGACTTTTTTGCCGCGTGAGTGTACGTTCCCCAGGGTTCACCACGTGGAGGTAAATCTATCACACACCCCGGTACGGAAAAAGTAAAATCCTTAATCTTCCTAATCCCCCCCCTTCCCCCAATTGCCAAATTGATAATTCTAAGCTTCAGTTTATCTCAAGCGCATAGTGTATTCATGCTTTGCAACTGAAAGCACACCACCACCACTAACCACCAAATTTTGCCTAAACTTCCTTTCGCGTAAATATTAGCGAATGACCCTGATATTTAATGAACCAAACTAATACACTATCACCGTGTCAAATAAGATCCCTACGGATTAGCCCCAGTCCTGGTAGTTAAGCCTGTTAAAAGTTAACCCGCTTGACAGGCATGCGAAAGGTCACAGTCGTCAATCCAAACGTGTGACCTCGTTCGTGTGATTTATCATCCAAGCCCTTGGTATCTCTCGGTGAGGTCATCATCGACCTGAAAACTTGTATTAGACCAAAAATGAAGGATTTTGGTGACAGGTAAACTAGGCATAGGTCTTAATTACATGCTAGAAAGTAGTTTCCACAAAAAATATTTAAAATTGGGACTATTTATTTATATCAAATGGCAGGCGTTTTGAATAGTTATCATTAGCCCTTTAGTTGACTTCAGGCTTCACAGAGGGAGGGAACAGAAGGGTGTTTCAAAGATGTAAAAGAGACAGGCATAAAGGTAGAAAAAAAGGTGAGGTGAGTACTGTGAAAGTAGTCGAATATGACACAGTGGGATCATTGTAGTTTGAAGTCAGAAGTCAACTGCCAGCTAATAGACTTTTTCGCCGTATGATTATACGTTACCCAGGGTGCACCACGTGGTGGTAAGTCTATTGCACACCCCAAATTGGAACTATACTTGATTAGATTTCGCAATTCAAGTTCATCGCCTCATGATCTACTATTTCTA